CCGCTTTGCTGCTCCTAAATGTTCCCTCGTCAAGTACTCATTGTCAACACAACTTGCCTTTGGAGAACTCTTGTCTGCTTTCATTTTGGCAGCAGCAGAATTACTTCCCCTTGCCGATGACCGAATTGGATTACGATTCTTACCCGCTTCGTTCTTTGAGTTCACACATTGATCTGGCTGCAATTTGGTTTTGTTAACAACTTCCACAGTAGAATCAGGCTCCTTCAATTCATTTGCTTGGACGTGTGCGTTGTTTGCTACACTTCCTTGCTCTTTGCAATGGTTGGTAGTAGCTTCAGGAGATGAATTTATTCTCTTCCCCAGTGCATGTGCAATCATGCGGCGTGCAACCACGGGATCACAGCGTGGCTTTGGCTTCTCAGGTTCACTGTCTTCTCCTATGTGCATCATGAAAATTCGCTCACGAACAGCCAGATAGGCTGCTTCTCTCTCTTCGAAAGTTCGTTGAGGAGGCGATTTCTTCAAACTCACTGAAATAGAACATCAAGTACAGGCAACTCAGTTTCTTATAATCCTTCTGAAAGAAAATCTGCAAATTTAGGATTGAACAAACTTCCATGTACATGTGAAAACTGGAACAGTTTTACCCCCAAAAAGAGATATTTACATACACATTCTATCATAGAGTTACTTTTCTCCCTAAACTTCAATCTTCAGATCTAGAATCCATATCAAAATCCTACCGAGAAGACCTTTTATTCTACTCTACAGCAACGTTTCTCCACACTGCAGCACTCCCTTTGATGCCATTATATGGAGAGAGAGAGAGAGAGAGAGAGAGAGAGAGAGAGAGAGAGACCACACCAGGGAACTTTCACAAATTAATATTACAAGTTCATACTATCTCCTCTGCTATCTTCAAATGGCCACAAGTCCACTATTAGTGCACATGTAAGCTTTAGGTACTAATTATGCTGTATGAAATAATAAGCGTACCAGAAGAGTTTTCCTTTCTCCTTAACAGTTGGTGTGGTATTGTTGAAATTTGAGGTTCATCGTACTCCCACAGAATATCACTCACAAGAATGGACGGCCTGCAATACACAAATAAGCTAATGAACCAATGACCTTATATTAGAACCACCCATGTCTCTACCATACCCCTTCAGTTTCATAGTTCGTAAATATAAGAATCCTCGTTTCACTTTAAGCAATACGTGAACTACGATGAAGAAATAAATGACATCCCAATGTTTTTTTTTGTCCTAAATAAAACTTAATGGATATGAATTACAAATAGTCCATCTTTCCATATAGCTTATGACGTGTGCCTATGCAATCCAAATCTTCTCCCTCTGAGTCGATGTACGACTTGGGGGAAAAACCAATAGAATGTGAATCACAATAGCAAGGGAGAGAGAGGGTGGTATGTAATCCCTACTTGTATTCAAGGACAACTAGAGAAAAGCTTGGATTGCATTTCCTCCTAATACAGACTAACTTTCACAACAGGACGGATTCCTAGTGGAGCTGATCAAAGGCAGAAAGGACTAAGAGTTCATTGCATTGAATCAAAATCAAGGGGACTAAGAGGTTTATTCAATTATTTCAATACAAAAAATAATAAAAGATCTCAAAAGCCTAACTCCAATTCAAAGTAAAACATTTTTCTATAGAGAAGATGTTCATAAGAAAAGAAAAATGAGGGTGAATTTTCTATTCAATTATTTCAACGTGTAAAGAAAACGCACAGACGCGGAAATTGTTCAAATTCCTAGCTTCAACATCAGATCAAATGCAATATCAATAACAATTTAGAATATGAAAATATTAAACCAAAAGGAATTCAGGTAAGGAATTTCTCAATACATTGATGACTCTGGGCATCGCTCCAAAACCAAGTGCCTATCAACGCCTTCACCAACTGATACATGGGCAAATCTGAGAGAGGAATTGGGAAGAAGAACAAACTTAGGAAGGTAGGCATAAAGTTTGACATAGAAAATTAAGAATTCAGCATTATACAAACTAGAAAAAATATTGAGGGGGAAAAAGGCACCCAAAAATATCAGCAAGTCGATGCAACAGAAGACGGTTGTATGAATCCATTGGTTCCAACTCCAAGATTCCATCTGAACTGCTACCCGCAACAATTATTTGAAGTTAGTGATCACCATTCAAGCCATAGGTAAAGAACAATGTAAATATAAAGCTATTCAAATGCAAGATAAACGTGAAATTTGAGAAGTAGTGCACCAAACATCAGAATAAAAAGTGGTTCCTATCCTCTAAATAGATAACTACCATTGTTTGAGCCCATAACCTTCCACTTTTCCCTTTCACACTTGGGTGGAATTGAAACACAAAAGTATTACTAAATTGGACGATAGCTTTGCAAAGACAGATTGCCCAACTTTTCTTTAATCTCGGGAGGAATACGATCGGACGATCGGGGGCCTAATTCAAACCCTTTGGGTAAAATAAGAACAACCCGACATTCAAACTGCCCCTTTTCTTTCAGTTGCATATCATACAGAATTCGAACAACTACTTCAAATATAATATCATAGAGTACCTAACTAACATCATGTAATCATCATCCAACACATTACCTGATTTCATCCTGAAGAAACTTGACGAAAACGTCTTCCATGGATAGAATAAGATGCTTGCTAGGGAGGTTTTCCTTCACAAGGAAGGCCAACTCCTCCACCTGCGGAGTCAAATATCATCAATAAGGAGAAAAAGAAAAAAAAAGGAAAATGTTAACGAAAATAGCACAATGCAGAATTATGTAACTGCAAATACTAGCTGTTCTAGACAAACTTCAGTAAACAACTTCATACAAGCACTAAAGGAATCTACCTTTATCCATAAAAATAGAAAAGAACTACCATCAAATATCAATATACGTGTACGCCAGGGCAGGTTTGAAGATCAAAAAACTACAGAAAATGTCAGAACCCATCTTGATCTTACAACATATTACTTCAGACATTAACCAACTTTCCCAGAACTTCCTGCATATTACGCTACAAATCTATTCTCTTTGTTTGCTGAAGAACTAAATTTCATTTACATGAATAAAGGTACTGATCACAGGCAGTACAAAAGGATAAACCCGAAGAACACAAAATTTTCAAAAAAAAGTGTGCCAATTATTGTTAATAAGAAAGAACGAAAAAACTACTGCATCAAAATTTCCAGAACTCCAGCGTACGAATTACTTCCATTTCCGGGAATAACACTCGCTGAATCACTCCTTCTCATCTTTTTATATGCCAAATTCCAATTCCAAGCAGAATCATAAACAAAAAAATACATCAAAATCTCAAATCACTGAACCTGATCCAGAAACTACCGATTACCCTACAAAAAAACGCAATTAAACCAAAAACCCGCACTACCTAATACCCTGATCCAGAAACCACCAAGTACATCACTGTCAGTTCATCAAAAATACCAAAAATGCTAGAGCCCGCCAAGGATTCTGAGAATTCAACTGAGAGAATCTAACAATTTAGAGATGAAATATGCGATTCTTCGTGAAGTCAGATGAAAGCAGTAAAGAGGAAGAAGAAGAAGAAGTTACCATGGCGAATTGGGTGATAGCCATTGTAGGTAAGAAGGTTGAAGACTCAATGGGAGTTTCAATGGGGGCGATGGATTTCCGGAGAAGGCTTACAACTACGGGTTTTAACGAGCCTGACGTCTGACAAATGATAAATATATTTTTTTAAAATAAATAAATAAATAAATGAATTATTTACCATAAATGTTTTAAATATGAGATATTTATATCCCTCCCATGATTATCTCACCGGTTAGATTCACTCGCCCAACTAATATACCTACTCAGTTAGAACATTTTTAGACTCAATTCAATTGTTCGGTTATAACTTCTTTTTTTTTAATCAAAACAACATTTATTCAATAATGAACCCACCTGCTGTGTCGTGATCTTGATACGCTCACGGCTAGTAATTAAGTCCCATATATATTTTTCGTCCCAGCTTTGTGGCTTACTTAGACGAGGCAATCGAACATCGCTGGTGCAGAATCCAAGCGTGTTCAACCACACACGCCGCCTGCGCGCGCATGTTCAATCGTCTGCGACACAAACTTGCCTCTACACTAGGCCAAGTCATTCGGTTTGACCTTGCCTCTACTCGAGGTCAAGGTCTCTCAATGCAACATCGCATCTCATCTTGTCATCTCGATTCTCATCGACATAGTCTATATGTCTTGACGCCATCCCGAGTCTCGAGATGTCGTCGGTCATCACAACTCATTCGGTTATGCCATTGAGAACGGGACCAACACAACCGTAATTTTTTTTTACTTAAGTTGGTTGGATTATTTGAGTCATTTATTCAAATTTTTATTTTTAATAAAAGCAAAATGTCAATTTATTTAATTTTAAATATTAAATTAAAATTTGGATTTCAATATATATTTTATAATTTTATCTTTTAAATACTTAAAAAGTATTAAATAATAAAATAAAATAAATACTTAAATGTCAGTTTTATCTAATTATTAAATTAGATAAAAATGAAATAAATATACGAATATATAATTGTATCATGTCCAATCCAGAAAGTTTCAATAAACTCAACCCAAGGTTGAAATTGTAAATATGCATGGCTACAAGTTTTTTTCTTCCCGATTTTAGTCTTAGTATCATCTCTAGTGAGTATAGTAAGTGACCTAAACGAGAAAGAAACTTTTATGCACTGACAAATGAAACTCTTTTAAAAAAACGAAAAAAATCTTCAATGATAACCGTTCATTATTATCTAGAAGAGTTATCCACTCGACACAAGACCCTACTTCCCCACTCGACAGAATACCCTTATAAATTCCGTTGGTAACCGCTTCTAGATTCAACATGCTCCGACCCTACAATGGCTTTGTTGTAGATTCTGATCGTGTCTTATTTCTACACGATCTTGAACCTGACAATTGATAATCTTATTCCATACGATCCTAAGAACCAACATTGTTATATAATCTATCGTTTAACTCGTTCGAATATATCTCTGATCACTTAAATATTCAAATCTGAGAGATCGATAGAGTCGAGCGTGGCATGATCAGGCATAACATCACTGCAAAACTCACAAGAAACACTAGAGGGTGTTAGATGAAGGGAGTGATTGATTCTAGATTCTAACCAAGACAATCTTTTCTCAAGACTCAGCACACCAATGTGCATGATCCTAGTACTAACTTGTGCAGCTCTAGCACAAGCTCGAAGCAATAAGTAGTAATCGGCATGAGCAGCGTAAGTTAGCGCACCTTCGTCGATCTTCCTCGAGTAGTGAAGGTAACCGAATCTCTTTGGGTAAACCCTTGGAGGAATGTAGCAGAATCTATTTTCTTCCATATCGAGTTTCAGTCGTCTGATCGCTTCGTCTTTGGAAGTTAGTGTTGAAGCTTTGTCTTCAGAGGATAGTTCATCATCTACATTTTCGGAACTTTTTGATGAATGACTTTGCTGCGAATTATTCGACTCAGTTCGGTTATCGGATGATTCGCCACTAACACGGTCTTCGCTCCTGCGTTTCTTGTCTTTGTTGGATGATCGATCATTCGGAGCTTCCCTCAATCTCTTTTGATTGGAAGCTGCATTTTGATCCATATCTTCTGTTTGTTCTTGATCCTGTAACAATTTCTTTTCAGTGGTTAGGATTTATGCTTTCCAAATAAACACTGATACATAAATTTGGTTAACAGACATGAAATCCCATGTGGCATAGCAACAAAAGCAAGTGATGTTGCAAAGAACTATAAGTTCTAACTCGACTTTTTCCGATACTTATGCACGCATTCATGAATTTCAGGAGACAATTTCTCGACCCCTATAATGTTTAGTCGTCGGAAGACTCATAGGATAAATATCTTAGGTCGCTATAAAGTTTGAACTCATGATCTACTTGGATAACCTATTGTAGCTCAAGTCTAGCAACACTTCTACATCTTACTTCTCAAACTCAAGTTTAAACATCAAAATGAAGGTGCTAATGCAAAGTTAGATTAGAGCATAAGTCACAATTTTCTCATAAGAACTCTACATTGAGCAGCAACCTTTGACTCATTCCAAAGAAGAACATCGTGAAGAAAAATGACCAAGTTATAATGTGAGATCCCACGTCGGTTAGAGAGGAGAACGAAACATTCTTTATAAGGGTGTGGAAACCTCTCCCTAGCAGAGCGTTTTAGAAACCTTGAGGGGAAGCTCGAAAGGAGATCCCAAATAGGACAATATCTGCTAGCGGTGGGCTTGGGCTGTTACAAATGATATCAGAGCCAGACACCTGACGATGTGCCAGCAAGGATGCTGTGCCCGGAAGGGAGGTGGTGGATTGGGGGGTCCCACATCGATTGGAGAATGGAACGAGTGCCAGCGAGGACACAAAGGGGGTGAATTGTGAGATCCTACATTGATTGGAGAGGAGAATGAAACATTCTTTATAAGGGTGTGAAAACCTTTCCATGACAGACACATTTTAAAAACCTTGAGGGAAAATCCGAAAGAGAAAGTCCAAAGAGGACAATTTCTACTCGCGGGTGGGCTTTAAGCCATTAAGAGCATATTTCAGAATTGAATTTCTTACCTCCATCATAAAGAAACATCAATTCATTTTTAACTACCGTTTAAATGCTAATTAGAACTAGAACTTTTAAAACATTAAGAGCATATTTCAGGTGAGGGTTTGGGTTTGAGTGGCATGAATTCATGTATCCCCCAGAAAGAATCTATTATTCCTCTCACCCCAAGAACAAGCTTCCTAAACTTGCACCGCAAACTCAACTCAGGTTAATCAAATCTACGCTTTCTACATCCTCCCACTCAAATCTCTAGGCTTACCACAAACCAATGCCCCAACGCCCATAAGAACCACAATTCTTGAAGGAGTTTCTTTAGGGACGAAATGATATACTTGGCTAATCCTACCCAAAGTGTCACGATAGCAACTAAGAGTAATAAAAGGGAGTTCTTCTCTAGAGAAAGATTACATGTGCCATTCAGGCTTTTCAAGTCTTTATGGGGTTGAAAAAGGGGGTTGGTTCACTTGCAAATACCAAAGTCTCAACACCACATGACTCCTAAAAGTTTGCTAAGAGTATTTAACCCTAAGATGAGTAATAGGACGAACATTAGTTTTCGGAATCACTCCTAGGCTATAAGAATTTAGCTAAGAAGCCTCTATCAGTAACCGGTTGGTTCACGGTAAGAGCGATAAAAAAAAAGAAAAAAAAAAGGCCTCATCCAGTGATTCGAGATAGCCTCATTAGTATAAAACATCCCGGCTAGTCTCCTCTTTCCCTTCTTTGTTCGTTTTCTCACTATATACCCTAAAGATCAAAATCCCATCCTAGTGAAAAAGGAAAGAAAAAGCAAAAGAAATTCATTATATATTTCACAAAAATCACAATCATCAGCGAAATTGAATTTGATTCTCAAGAGAAAAGAAAAATGCCAGACTTCAGCATGATAGCCACTACCTTTTCATTCTGATAATACTTCCAAAATTGTTCAATCAACCGTTCTTCCTCGTGATCCTCAAACAAAGACTCTAAACCAGCAAAGACGACATCCTTACAGTGCTGAAGATAGGTCGGTAAGCTTTTAGAGTATTCTGCCAACAAAATTTTGGTGTTAGCAAATAACAATTTAGTAATAAATACAGTGAGCAGGTAGGAAAAAAGCTTCTGGTTGGCCTAACTTCAAAAATACAATAAAACTTAAATCATACCATAAGTCTCAGCAATATCGTGATACCGAGCTTCAATCTTGTGAAGGAACTCTGAAGCAGTCAGTTCAGGCATGTCAAGATGCGAGTATTTAGCCGAGACAGACAGATTATCCACATTATGTGAAGTAAATCCAGGTCCATTTTCACTATTAGCCTGCACGTTACTGAAATCATTAGCAGGACTTGAATGTCTCTTCTGGTTAGGTGGGAAAGATGAAGCACAATTACCGGACAAACTCTTCTCCCATTCTCCAAAACCATGGAGATTATAGAGAATTCTCATGGCTATAATTAGAATCGACATTACACAAACACGTGAGGGAAGCCTCAGCTCATTGGTTGATAACCACAAATCAGGAGGCATTGACCACTCATAAATGCGGCAAGCATGAGGCAAAATCTTATCAACAGGAAGGGCCAGCTTGTTGAGATAACGACGCGCTATTGAATGAAAGTTGACTGGAGGTAGGTTGAGCCCTATGGTATGAGCTACCGATGCTGCCAATGATTCCAACTTCTGCAGCGAGGGAATTCGAGAGGGCCTATACATATGCTTTAAACTTATAGGACAAGCCCTTGACGTTTTCCCAATGCGATCTCCAATGTCAACAAAAGCAGCAAAATATGGAAGTTTCCCCTCAAGTGACCACTTCATTATGTCCGTTGGCAAAATCGCTTCTCGAGCAACATGGCAAGCCAAAAAGGAAACAGCTAGTGTACAAGATAATGGTATCTTTTTTCTTAAAGATTGAACCCACACAACTACTACCCGCTGACCATACAAATTGTGGGGTTCATCTTTATGCCTACTTGAAACAGGTCTAATGTTTTCAGGATCTGTTGAATGAAGGAACATTCAGTTTGCAACTAAAATCGAAAAAGAAAGATGACAAAAAGTACAAATAAACTAAGAGACCCAATTAAAACAATCAAACATACTGAAATATATGAAGAAAACTCAACCAACACTACGTAAAGGAACAAATAAGGCAATTATTCAAGCAAAATTGTAAGATCTTAAACAAAATCATGCCCCATTACAAAGAAACTGAGGAGGGGAGGGAAGTTGGACAAATGGCCGAGACTACTGGAAGGATTCCTCTTTGGATAATAGGTATTCCTGTGATCGGTTTAGTCGGTATTTTCTTTTATGGTTCATATTCTAGATTAGGTTCATCTCTGTAATAATCGGATGAACTTATGGCTATATGCACTTAGAACTATGATATTTGAATATGCAAACAAGATCAAAGGCCAAAAAAGACAATGTAATAACAATAATGAGTTAAGTTTTCAAGGCATTTATCAGAATCCACGAACATATGCCAATTGGAAATCTAAAGCTAATGGTTTCAGTTCTATCAACATGATTCATAGGCACTTAAATTTGAATAAGAACTATTCATGGAAGTAATGAGTGATCAAACCTAGGCATTGGCTCTCAGAATCCTGAACGGCCTCAAAGGCCCAATCCTCGTCAAAAACCTGTGTAGAAGTCACAAACCTCAACCAAATGCTCGCCGCCAATCCACAGATTACAGGGCTTGCATTGAATTCCTTCACCAAAACTTCGCACTGAAGCTCCATCATCAACTGCAATCCCATTACATATCTCATCCTCACTTCATCAGCATACTCCTCAAAACTCGGAGCTCCGGATAAAGCACCACCCGATCCGAAATCCTCAGGACCAATCGGCCCAACACCATCATTGGACATCACAATGGTATCATCCCTTTGAATATCGTTGTCTCCCTCTAATTGAAGGCTCTCCCAGAACTCAGATTGACTAGTACCGAAAAGGCTCTGTGGTTGAGACTGAGATAGAGGCTCTACCTTCAACACCGCCGGATTACGACGGCGCGTGTGGGATTGCGAGTAGATTGGGCCACCGGCATCACCAGGGTCTCTTAAAATCAAATCCTCGTCGGCGACACCGGTGTCGATGATGTCGTCGGCCTGGGAACCACACTGGAGACAGTAGAAGAAGCCATCGCCACCGTCTGTAAGCCCAACGCTGCCGCAGTTGTAGCAAGACAAGTTGCGGGGGTCTGCCATTGGAGATCTTGAAGGTATAATAATGGAAGCAAGTAATCAGAGAAGATTAGCAACCAAATCAAAGACAAAAAAGGAAGAACTCAAGGAACTCAAAGCGTGGGCTTTGTGCAAGAAATTGAAATTCTCAAGCATATATATTTTCAAGTGGAGCGTATTTTCCAATTACTTTTTCTTTTTATAAAATAATAATTTTAATAAAAATAACATTTTAGTTTAATTTCATTATATTTTAAAATTAGCACTTACAATTATATTTTGCTAAAAATATTTAGTCGAAAATTTGATTAAAAAAAAAATATTTACATCTTGCTTTTCTTAAATAAAAATAATTTCAAACCAGGGAAAAAAATAATTTTAAGATATATTAAAAATACATAAACTAAATTTAAATATTTAAAAATTATAAAGACTAAATAAAATAAAATATTAAAGATTAAGACAAAGATTTAAAAATAAAATATAATTTTCGCCTCTAAATTTAATATATTTACCTTTAAATAATTAGTTTATATTTTTTTTAAAACCCATATTAATTATAAATTAAGGTAAAAATTAACTTTAAAACAAAAATACAATTTTTTTTAAATAATTTAAAAATACTCTTTAATTTCATTTCAAAGTTAAAAAATATCTTTATTTCCCCAATAAATATCCTTATTAGTATATAGAAATTATACCAATAAACATTTTTTAATAAAGATTCTTTCCATAATTAATACATTTATTGCCTTTATCAAATTTTCTAAATTGCATTTAGATAAATTTTCTTTGAATTTTTTTTTTTTTTTTTTTTTTTTTTTGCTCATTGTACATACTACAACGATCGTGCATGTGAGATCCCATATTGGTTGGATAGGGGAACGAGTGAGATCCCATATCGGTTGGATAGGGGAACGAAATATTCTTTAGAACGGTGTGTAAATCTCTTCCTAGCAGACACATTTTAAAACTATAAAGGCGACAAAAAATGGTATCTGAGCCAAATATCAGACAGTGTGCTAGCAAGGACGCTGGCCCGAGAGTGGATTGTGAGATCTCGTACACAATCCAACACAATTATCTTGGATTTTCAGACATTTTATTCTTAAACATCCACAAAATCTTAAATCAAACGATCCGTAGACAAAATCTTAAAAAAAAACATAGTAATATTCTTAAGAGACAGTGTTGATCTTGCTTCCATATTCATGTCCTTTCTTCCGATCATAAAGAAAACATAATGAAGAACAGATGAGTATTGATTTGCTCATAATTGTATGGATTACAGATGAATGTTTTGAACATTATGAACAGTAAACAGAATCCCACAAAAGAATCCACAGCTAGAACAATCTCAACACAGCATGCCATTATGAAAATCAATTGAATCATAGTAAAGATGAGTTCATTTTTCATTTCCAAATCAAGAAAAAGAAACAGAACAAACCTCAGCAACGTGTTCGGTATGTTCATGTTGACGCTGCCGAGTTCAGGTGATGAATATCGGGTGAAATATCGAGTCCCAGACGACAGAGGTCCTGTAGTAGTAGATCTGCACTTCTGAAATGTAAGCCTACAATGCCGACTTCTTTCGCTGCTTCTACGTTTTTCTTTCTGCAAGTAAACTTGTAATGAGAAAGGGGTCTCATTCGATAACCATTTGGTTTAGAACATTAAATTCTCACTTCTATTTGTGCACAATAGAATGAAAAGCAGTTTGTATCGTTTTTTAAATCTCCATTCGATAACAAACGAAAGGTGCTAGATCACCGTTCAACCCAAAAATTTAAGTTGACGGGTTAGGATAGATTTTCTCCCTCACTCGTGGACTAGAAAATTTATAAAAGGTCAAACAAGTGGAAATCAAGATAAATGAGATTACAGGAGTTCGAACATCGGATCTTCAGCTCTAATATCATGCTAGATCACCACTCGACCCAAAAGCTACCGCTAGTTTAACCTTTTATCAATAGTTTAACCCAAGGAACCAGTTGAACTAGACGTCCAAATTTCAGCTAAGCTACCCAAGGACCAAACCCTAGTTTTTCCCACTTGTCATGTTTAGATATAAAATATATCGGCCTAAATTTTTTCGTTTCTTTCATGAACTACTCTGCTGTAACAGTTCAAGTCCACTGCTAGCAGATATTGTCCTCTTTGGGCTTTTTCCTTCCGAGTTTCCCCTTAAGATTTTCAAACGCGTCTACTAGGGAGGGGCTTCCACACTCTTATAAGGAATGTTTCGTTCTCCTCTCCAACCAATGTGGGATCTTACAATCCATTTATCCTCGGGAACCCAACGTCCTTGTTGACACACCGCCTGGTGTCTGGCTCTGGATAACCATTTGTAACAACCCAAGCCCAACGCTAGCAAATATTGTCTTCTTTGGGCTTTCCCTCAAGGTTTAAGATGCGCTACTAAGGGGAGTTTCCACACCTTTATAAGAAATGTTTTGTTCTCCTCTCTAACCAATGTGGGATCTTACAATCCACCCCTCTTTGGTGGCCCAACATCCTCACTGACACACTGCCCGATGTCTGGCTCTGATACCATTTGTAACCGCCCAAGCCCACCTTTAGCAGATATTGTCCTTTTTGAACTTTCCCTTCTGGGCTTTCCCTCAAGGTTTTAAAACATGTCTACTAGGGAGAGGTTTCCACACCCTTATAAGAAATGTTTTGTTCTCCTCTCCAACCAATGTGGGATCTCACAATCCACCTCTCCTCGGGAACCCAACGTCCTTGTTGACACACCACCTGGTGTCTGGCTCTGGATAACCATTTGTAACAGCCCAAGCCTACTACTAGTAAATATTGTCTTCTTTGGGCTTTCCCTCAAGGTTTTCAAATGTGTCTACTAGGGAGAGGTTTCCACACTCTTATAAGAAATGTTTCGTTCTCCTCTCCAACTAATGTGGGATCTCACAATCCACCCCTCCTTGGGGGTCCAACGTCCTCACTTACACACTGCCCGATGTCTGGCTCTGATACCATTTGTAATAGCCCAAGCCCACCTCTAGCAGACATTGTCCTTTTTGAACTTTCCCTTCTAAGCTTTCCCTCAAGGTTTTAAAACGCGTCTACTAGGGAGAGCTTTCCACACCCTTATAAGAAATGTTTCGTTTTCCACTCCAGCCAACGTGAGATCTCACACCTACTACGTCAACATTCAACGACAGAACAGGAAAGTGGCCTTATGCATATGGGATAGATTTCTCATATATTACTTGATATCAATATAATAAGAACAAATTGTTAAAATGTATAGAGGCTTCCGATCATAATTCCATTTCAATTTCTTTACATTAAATAAGTCAAACCTGTCATCAATGAAAATACAGCTAGCTGGCTCAACTTCAAGATGTCTGAGGGCTTCCAAGTAGAAATCAGGATCCGGCTTCCTCTTTCCTATAACATATGAAAAACAGGATTCAATATAATTTATAAGGCAATGGCATATCAACTTCGCTACTTTCCTGATATCTGAAAAACGACAGGATGGAAGAAAAGAACACAGAAGAAAGAGACGCTAAACATTTTTCAGTTTATTTTTACTTAGTTGTTAAGAAGCAATCAAATCTTTGTGATACCCCAGTCGTGAACGCTTATGTTAGAAAGAGTAAGTGTGTAACGCCCCAAGTCCACCACTAGCAGATATTGTCCTCTTTGGGCTTTCCCTTTCGGGCTTCTCCTCAAGGCTTTAAAACGCGTTTGCTAGGGAAAGGTGTCCACACCCTTATAAAGGGTGTTTCGTTCCCTCCCCAACCAATGTGGGGTTCTCACTATCCACCCCCCTTCGGGGCCCAGCGTCCTCGCTGGCACGAGTTCTTTTCTCCAATAAATGTGAGACCCCCACCAAATCCACCCCCCTTCAGGGTCCAGCGTCCTTACTAGCACAACGCCTCGTGTCTACCCCCTTTGGGGAACAGCCTCCTCGCTGGCACATCGTCCGGTGTTTGGCTCTGATACCATTTGTAACGGTCCAAGTCCACCACTAGCAGATATTGTCCTCTTTGAGCTTCCCCTCAAGGTTTTAAAACGCGTCTACTAGGGAAAGGTTTCCACACCCTTATAAAGGGTGTTTCGTTCTCCTCCCCAACCAATGTGGGATTCTCACAAAGTGGGTACGTTGGTTTGTGCTTTTATAGTCTGTTGAGGGATTGAGAGTTGTAAGAAGGTAGCAAAGGTCGTCAGGGTGGCACGGTTCAACCACAACAGCCTCCATCCATTGGGTTGAAGATGAAGAAACCAAGTGCAGGTCTAGGTGAGGCATTTTAACAAACAGATGAAGACAATATCTGTTAGCGGTGGGCTTCGACCGTTGTAGTTAGCATTTGTAACTTCTTAAATATGAAAACTTGTGTTTCTTTGCAATAAACAAAAGAAAGAAAAGAGAAAAGGATGGTTTAACGGTGATGATAAATATAGTGGAATGGTAATGAAGCAATCCCCCATAGCTTATATCACAGTTGTGAGACAATGAACAGAAGGCAAGGCAAGGCAAGGGAGGAGAACTTAAAGAAAAGGAAAGCCTTTAAGAACTTGAGCGTTACCGTTTTTACAAGAGCAGAACGTCCACGATAGATATCTCGAGATTTTCAACTTCTCCTCGATCATTTCGTACCTGCCAAATGAAATCACAGAAGTTAATGACACGTTTAATCGCAAGAAATGGCATGCGAAGATTCTTTTCTCACGAACCAAATAGGATAGTTTGTGAAGGCATGCATTTCATAGTTTTTCTCTTTTAGTGCATTTAGCAATTCTTCAATGCCTTCTAGGTAGGAGTAACCACTTATCATACAGTTTTTGAGGCCTGGAAAGATAGATAAAATGATGTTAATTGAAGCTAAAAGAGGAAGAACACACGGTAGATAAAATGATGTTAATTGAAGCTAAAAGCGGAAGAACACACGGTACACCGGCTAATATTTACATTATAAATAATGATAAAGAAGAGAATGTAATAACCCAAAGAGGTGGACATGAGGCGGTGTGCCAGCAAGAACGCTGGGCCTCAAAGGAGGGTGGATTGTGAGATCCCACATCGGTTGGAGAGAAGAACGAAACACCCTTAATAAAGGGTGTGGAAACCTCTCCCTAGTAGACACGTTGTAAAAAAGAAAAACCCGAAAGGAGGGTGGATTGTGAGATCCCACGTCGGTTGGAGAGAAGAACAAATCACCCTTAATAAAGGGTGTGGAAACCTCTCCCTAGTAGACACGTTGTAAAAAGGAAAAACTCGAAAGGAAAAGCCAAAAGAAGGACAATATCTGCTAGCAGTAGCCTATAAGTTCAACCTTAAAAAAGATTTGATAAAGCCTCAGAAACGAAGTATTGAATTGGACAATCCGTGTTCAAAGAATCTAAAAGTTGTGGTAAATCAGTTTAAGAAGCATTACCAATCATTCTAATCAACATTGTCATTTTTATGCAAGAGTATAGTGATATCATGCATGGATATACACACATGTTTTCATTTACATAGAAAAAGTCCGATATAACGGCCCAAGCCCACCGCTAACAGATATTGTCCTCTTTGAGCTTTTCCTTTTGGGCTTCCCCTCAAGGTTTTTAAAACGTGTCTGTTAGGGAGAGGTTTTCACACCCTATAAGGAATGTTTCGTTTCCTCTCCAACTGATGTGGAATTTCACAATTCACCCTCGCTAGCACACTGCCCAGTGTCTGGCTTTGATACCGTTTGTAACGGCCCAAGCCCACCGCTAGCAAATATTGTCCTCTTTGGACTTTCTCTTTCGGGTTTCCCCGCATGGTTTTTAAAACGCATTTGTTAGGGAGAGGTTTCCACACCTTCATAAGAAATGCTTCGTTCCCTCCAACCGATATGGGATTTCACAATCTACCCCCCCTTGGGGGTTCAACGTCTTCGCTGGCACACCGTTTGATGTCTGGCTCTGATACTATTTCTAACGGCCCAAGCCCACCGCTAGTAGATATTGTCTTCTTTGGGCTTTCCCTTTCGGGCTTCCCCTCAAGGTTTTTAAAACGCGTCTATTAGGGAGAGGTTTCCACACCCTTGTAAGGAATGTTTCGTTCCCCTCTCCCACCGAGGTGTGATTCACACTTTCTAAAGTAATTTCTATTCTTTGAGAATGACATAAAATTGGAAACAAAAAGGAATTAAAAAAGAAAAACAGGAAGAGAACCCATCAAACCTTCAAAATCAACAGCTCGCCCATCTTTAAAGAATTTTTTTTCCAGCTCTGCCTTGAAGAAAACAACAATTTTTAGAAGTATAAGTCAGACATTAAGAACAAGCAAATAAAGTGTTCAAATATATCGTATCCCCTTCATTATTTTAACCAATCAGTTGAGTTGAGTGAACTATAAAGAACTTCAATGATCACGAGAGGTCAAATTTGTTTTAGAAGGGACAGAAGCAAATACAGGAAAAACTCGAAGAAGAAATAAAGGGAAGAGAAAGCAATGGTGGCATTCAAGCCCATCAGGAATGTAACGATCCAGATCCACCGCTAGCAGATATTTTCCTCTTTGAGCTTTCCCTTCCGGGCTTCCCCTCAAGGCTTTAAAACGCGTCTACTAGGAGAAGGTTTCCACACCATTATAGATGGTGGTTTGTTCTCCTCCCGACCAATGTGAGACATCACAAGGAATTAGAATGCCGCTCCTCAGAGGGCGAGAGCTTATGAAAATATGGCAAATTCACAATGGTAGTCTCTCCCTCCAGGATGTAGGTCTTAGGAACCTAGCTGAAATGAGTCCAACGGTCCAAACCCACCATTAACAAATATTGTTCTCTTTGGGCTTTCCCTTTCAGACTTCCCCTCAAGGTTTTAAAAACGCATATGCTAGGGAGAGGTTTCCATACCCTTATAAAGAGTGTTTCGTTCTCCTCTCCAACCGATGTGGGATCTCACAATCCACCCCTCTTCAGGGCCTAGCGTACTCGCTGGCACTCGTTCTCTTCTCTAATCAATATGGGACCCCCCCAATCCACCCCCTTTCGAGACCCAACGTCTTTGCTGGCACACCTTCTTGTGTCCACCCCCCTTCGAGGCTTAGCATCATCACTGACATATCGCCCCGTGTCTAGTTCTGATACCATTTGTAATGGCCCAAACCCATCGCTAACAGATATTGTCCTTTTTGGGCTTTCGCTCAAGGTTTTTAAAGCACGTCTGCTAGGAAGAGGTTTCCACACCCTTATAAAGAGTGTTTCGTTCTCCTCTCCAACCAATGTAGGATCTCACAATCCACCCCTCTTCAGGGCCCAGCGTCCTCGCTGGTACTCGTTCTCTTCTCCAATCGATGTGGGACCCCCCCAATCCACCCCTTTCAAGACCCAGCGTCCTTGCTGGCACACCTTTTCGTGTCCACCCCCTTCGAGGCTTAGCCTCATCGCTGACACATCGCCCGGTGTCTAGTTCTGATACCATTTGTAATGGCCCAAATCCATCGCTAACAGATATTGTCTTCTTTGGGCTTTCCTTTTCGGGTATCCCCTCAAAGTTTCTAAAACGCGTCTGCTAGGGAGAGGTTTCCACACCCTTATAAAAGGGTACTTCATTCTCCTCCCCGACCAATGTGGGATCTCACATAATATCTCTTTCCTTTATTATTATTGTTTTTTTATTTCCAACTTCTCTTTGTATTCTCATTATTGCTATATAAACCACCTTAAAGGTTCCTTATATCACTCCTAAATGGAAACATAGGCTAATAAGAAGGTAGACATACCTCATCAATCAAACCCTTCTCAAATTCTAGCCACACGGTTGGGTGTTTGAGTTCAAGTAGTTCCTCCATGGGCATTCTGAGCAGTGAATTCAGATCCAATTAGTTAAGGCATCATAATAAGTACTAAATTTCGCAAAAACAAAGAGCCTGCATACTAGTGAAAACTACGACTTACTTTATTTCACGGTTCGTTTTCTTAAGAACAAGACCTTTAGATCTAAACTATCTAAGAACTCCAAAAAACGGTAAGGAATCAATCCAAGGGAATGTTTAGGAACGGATTACCTTGATGATTAAGATCAAGAGTAAAAAAAAACTCATAGTAGTTTGATCAAGACTACTTGAAAAATCTAAACACTAGTTCATGTTTTATAACAATGCAACTTTCATTATAATATCCAAAATCTTCGTACTAAATCAACAACACGAATGTCTATTTATGGCGTTGAAAAAGAACCTTAAAAGGCCAACAATAATGTGAAAGTTCAAACAAATGAAACATGAAAGAGAAGTTAACAGGAAAAAAAAAAGTTGTTCCCCTTTTGCACAAAACAGGTAGAAGCTATAATTATGATTCCAGTTGAGAAACGGGAAGTTCAAACCTATATATTATGATTCCCTTTGTCAAGTCAACAATTGCAGGCGGATTATCGAATCATCGACCATTAGTGTATCGAACCATCAAATCGGCAATTGCCGCTTATCTATTGAGCTATGCTCCAATTGGCTAGCCGCTTATCCATTGAGCTATGCTCCAATTGACTAGCTCCTACATCCATTGAACTATGCTTGAATTGACTAGCCCCTATATCCATTGAGCTATGTTCGAATTGGCTAGCCGCTTATCATCGAACAATGCTCGAATTAGCTATGATCAAATTAACTAGCTGCTTATCCATTGAGCTATGATCGAAATGGCTAGCTGCTATATCCATTAAGCTATGCTCGAATTGGCTAGCTGCTTATCTATTGAGCTATGCTCGAATTGGCTAGCTGCTTATCTATTGAGCTATGCTCGAATTGGCTAGCTGCTTATCTATTGAGCTATGCTCGAATTGGCTAGCTGCTTATCTATTGAGCTATGTTCGAATTGGCTAGCCCCTATATCCATTGAGCTACGCTCGAATTGGCTAGCCCCTATATCCATTGAGCTACGCTCGAATTGGCTAGCCCCTATATCCATTGAGCTACGCTCGAATTGACTAGCCCCTATATCCATTGAGCTACGCTCGAATTGACTAGCCATTATAACATTACAAGTTCTATGATTAATACAAGCCAAGTGTACAATATGAACACAAAAGGAGAATTCCATCAGTCATTTAAGCAAACATGTTAAATGCACTGTGGCCATGGGATTAACAAACCATAAATCTTCTCCCCTGTTTTCATTCATCCAGATGCCAGATCTTCCCATAAACTATACAACACAATTCACACTAAAAATCAAAACAAAAAGTCAAATCACCTGAAAAAGGCGGGAACATCTTCATAGAATGGATCACGAACAATGGTACCCATGATATCAAACAGCAGAACAGGAAGCTTCCTAGTGCTCTTATCGCCACCATCAGAGCTCCAACCAGCCGCCATCGAAAGAGAAGACGAGACGCCTTTGCCATCGCCAATGCCAGCATCGTTGCCTCTGCGACGAAGGGTATGGTTGAAATTGGACGCCATTTTTGATGGATTCAAGGTGGGTCTGACTGGGGAGAAGGAAGCAACAGGTGGGTTCCAGAGAGAAGCCATTAAAATTGATATAAGCTCCAAAAATGGCCGCAGCCACTAACCATTGCTCTCGCACACAGTCGATGTAATTTATAGAAATGGCGTTTTGCATTGAAGAGTTGCTTTCAGCGATTCTTATCCTTAATTCTATATTTGGCGAAGAATCGTTTTAGTTGAGATGTGTCGACCCATGCCACTCGATTTGAAGTCATGAGGCAACAATGAATTGAAATAGGCACCCCCGACTACGATTGAACCTAGTCGGATAGATTTTGACCGACGTTAGACTATAGAGCCTGTTGCTCATTTATAACTCAGTCAATAGGCTATCGAGCATGCTGCTTATTTATAACTTAGTCGACTGGAGTTATTGTAACAGCTCAAACCCACTTCTAGCAATTATGGTCTGCTTTTGACCATTACGATGTTAGGTTATGGAGCCTACGGCTTATTTACGCCATCAGCATCACGATTTTAAAACGCATCTGCTAGATAGTGGTTTCCTCACTCTTATAAGGAATGTTTTGTTCCCCTCTAAAACCGACGTGGGATTTCACAATCCATCTCCTTGGGGCCAGTGTCCTCGCTGGCACACCACCCCATCTCCTTGGGGGCTAGTGTCCTCACTGGCGCACCACCCCTATTTCCTTGGGGGCTCAGTGTTCTCGCTGACACAACAATCCATCTCCTTGAGGGTCCAGTATCCTCGTTGGCACACCACCCCCATTTCCTTGGGGGCCAGTGTCCTTGTTGGTACACCACCCCTATCTCCTTGGGGGGCTAGTGTCCTTGCTGGCACATCACCTGATGACTGACTCTAATACCAATTGTAACGGTCCAAGCCCACCGCTAGTAAATATTGTCCTCTTTAGGCTTTTCCTTTCGAGCTTCCCAAACGCGTCTGTTAGGGAGAGGTTTCACATCTTTATAAAAGAATAGAATGTTTCATTCCCTTCTCCAACCGAGGTGGGATCTCATGGTTATTGTTCATCTTTTGTTTTAAAGTTCGTAGCCCGCTATGGCTAGCTCCCCTGTTGTTCATGTTATCCTTAAACATCTTATTCGAAAGAATAAGTCAAAATAAATAGAGTTCCTATTACAGATTTACACCGATTCTAAATTAAAGTAAAAGACATGAAGTCTATTAAAACTAAACGGAAATTAATTTAACCCGAACACATTCAACGAAGAATCAAAAGCAAAGGAATTTAGAATCTTCAAACAATTAAAAATAAAAAATCAAAGATGCTCTAAAGATCACAAGACTTCAAGATTACGATAATCGTTCAAGAAAGATCAACGACTGATCATCAGCTAAAGACCAATCTAAGCAGACAATAAATAGAAAAATAAGCAACACTCAATAAATTTCTGTCCTCTTTGATTTTATTTTATTTATTTATTTATTATAATAAATGTTTTCCCTGCCCATATTTATTATTCCATGAATAAAAAAATAGGCAAAAATTGCTTTAAAAATGAATAAATAAAAGAAATAATTTTAAATAAATGTATAAAGAAAGAGCGTCGTGATTCACGAAGCAAGACACATGACACATCACTTATGTTTAAAATATTAGACACGTGTCAAATCATTTAACAATAGTGATAATATTGCAAAAATTAAAATTTGTGATTTTTTTTTTTAAATTTATTTTTGTGTTAAATCAGATTTTTTTTAAAAGTTTAAAAGCACTCTAAATCAAGCAATAATTTAACTTTTGAAAATAAATTATATAAATTTAATGTTTAAATAGTTTGAATCGATCGTTAAGATTACTCAAAGATATTGTTAATAATAGGAGATTCCTTAAATCAAATTCTCGTTCATAAAAGAATCGAAAACAAATAAATAAATAAACGTGATAAATATTAAGGAGGTCAACAAGCATTTTTGAGATCTTGAGGATCGAGGGGCTTGAACCCTCACTATAAATTTTATTCATCCCGTGAGTTGTAGATTCGCAACTTATCCCCATTTAATTCATAAGATTTGGTTTTAAAGATGCATATCTTCTTTTAGGTTTCCAACGCAAAAATGATTGATATATATTATAGAAGAGAGACTCGATCTAATTGTTCGTATTAATTTTTTTTTTCAAACAGAAGAACCCTTAATATTAAGACTCTCCGACTACTATTTTGGTCCTCATACTAATACACTTCCGGATTGGTATCGTTTCGACCTTCGGCTAAGTATTCATGCCTCGAGCTTACACATAAATCAAAAGTTGAACTATAGTTGAGACAAATCTAATTTCATTGCTTATTTGATCTATTTTGAGTATATATTTGTATGAAATGAAAGATTTATTACAACAATCTAATAAAAAGAATAATAAAATTTATTACATCTTGAAAATGTCAAAATTATATTCCTTGGACAAGGAAAAAGAAAGCTGCACTATAAAGAATGCTATTGCATATCAAACTATGATGAAACAGCTCATGGAGGGGATTGACCAATTTGCAGGCAATTTGAATCTTGAAATCTTTTTTTTTTCCTTTTTTGATTTGTACTATATGTAATCACATACCTGTCGACGATGTTCGGTTTATCCGTTGTGCGCCTAGTTTTGGAGCAGCGGGTTTGTTTCCTCTTCCCCTACCAGCTGACAATGGCTTAGCTCGAGTCGTTGGTGCGGGAGCGGCGATGGCAGCCCAAGGATCATCGTCGTCAATAGTTGTGCTTGCTTTTACTTTCAATGATTTTGAACCAGTTCTTGGAGCAGGGGCAGCTATGGAACCCCACAGATCGTCGTCTTCTTTAGCTGGCCTGGGTGTACTTCTTGAACCTGAACTTGAACCTGAATGAACCGAAATAAGTTTTTATTATGAAGTCGAGCCATGATCTAGAAAGCAAGAATGAAAATGGCATTACTTGGTCGTTTCGTTTGTAACACAATTTGAGATACAGGTCGTTTTTGAGCAGCCTGAATGTTGGCAAGAGCTGGAGACGGTTTAGACTCCTCGAGCGGTTCCAACTCGTCCCACCCATCTTTCTCATTTTCATCTTCATCATGAATTCCATTTTCAACTTCTCCCCAACCATCAGTCGATGTAGGGGATTCAGTTGCGTGTTGTTCAGTTAAATCGAAACTTGAGCTTACCCTTATAGGTGAGGTAGTTGGAGCGTTTTCAACTGGAAGCAAATAAAATCAACAAAAAAATTTAATACAATTAATAACTGTCCAAGCCCACTGCTAGCAGATATTGTCCTCTTTAGGCTTTCCACTTCGGGCTTCCCCTCAAGCCTTTAAAACGCGTCTTTCAGAGTTACACGGCGAAACCGGTACTCATCCTTGTTATGTTTTCCACCGTTAGCAGACATTGTCCTCTTTGGGCTTTCCCTTTCGGGCTTTGCCTCAAGGTCGTCTGTAGGGAGAGGTTTTCTAGCCCTTATAAAGGATGTTTCGTTCTCCTCCCAACGTGAGAAATTACAACAAATACACTCATAAGTCTCCTATTTTATGGGGGAGTGAAAGCACCCTTCTATGTTATCATTATAAAAAATACAAAAAAAACACCATTCTAAATGACTTCAAAATAGATGTACGCCCTTTCTCATAGAGTTCAAAGAAATTACAAATATGAGAGGCATATCCATCACTAGCGACCATGAAAAAACACTAGCATGGCTGAGGAATATTAAAGACGTTTGCATAAATTCAAAGAAAAGTTTCAAGATATATAATGTACCTAATGTGGAATCAGAGCTTGTAGCAGCCAAAGGTGCATTAGAGCTTACAGGAGCGCTAGAACCATGCTCAGAGGGTTTTCCTTTGAGAGTTAAGGAGCTCATCGCCCATCTGCATACATATACGAGATCAGGGTGGATAATAGATTGGTGGGGTCAGATTTTGAGCAGAGATGACACATTTCACGGTGTATCTATGGCCAATAATTTGAAATTGCAAAAACCTGTGACAATGATAACATCAATCTACTTCAATAGTGTTACTAATTACCACTGGTGTTACTAATTACCACTTCAGTGGTGTAAGGACCCAAGTCCACTGCTAGCAGATATTGTCCTCTTTGGACATTCCTTTTCGGGCTTTCCCTTAAGATTTTTAAAAAGCGTTTGCTAGGGAGAGGTTTCCACACCCTTATAAAGGGTGTTTCGATCTCCTCCCCAACTGATGTGGAATCTCATAGGTGGTGTATTATCCTAATCACAATAAGACAGTCAAGATCAGTAAAAGGTGTTTTCTATGCATAACCAAAGGTTTTCATTAAATAACATATTAGATACAAGAAACTTTGAACAGAAAATCCAACAATAGCATAAAAACAAACCATAAAAGTGACTTGACCGTATGCTTTACACACCACATCAGAAATCCAGAGACAAATGATTATAATTATTTTCAATTGTAATATTCAAACGAACTAACCCGAGCAAACTAGCATTTCCTGGTAGAGACGGGATGTTCAAACCTAATGCAGCTGTATCTCCCGACATTTCCTAGAATAAACCATAGGAGGCATGTCAACAAAACACATTCCATTATTAGAGAGTTGACCAGTATTTGACTAACACGGAGTCCTATTTTTTTTTTCCTTTTCCAGGAATAGGCAATCTATGTGTCACTGTATTCTTCTTAAATAGAAACTTTTATTCTTGCATCTAATAATTACAAAGACAGCAAATGTACAGGAATTTGTGAGTGTGTGTGTGTGTGAGAGAGAGAGAGAGGGAGAGAGAGTATATTTTGGGTTATAAGAAAACAAAAAACACTAGCCCTCTCACTAGCAGCAGCTCAACTGGTTTTCCAAACATAATTGAGCAAATATATGAAGGCAACTGGTATCGGAATATCTAAGAAGTTATCAGTATCATACTATATATGCCCAGGAATGTAAAATCTTAAGTAACAAGAAACTTTAAAAGACTAACAAAGCAAAGATTTGAGGTCTTGAGCTACATGTGTATTTAACACACCTCATTGTTTTGCTTTAATATCTGTAAGAACTGATCAACTGCTTGAAAGGATTTCAATCGAACATCACTATCAACCAGAGAAGTATGAAAAGAAACATATTAATGGATACAGAAATGATTTGTATAATTATAAGTCAATAACAAAATGAGACGATTTATTCCAGATACAAAGGAAAAAGAGTAAATTAACAAAAACCCCAATTTTGAGAAACAAGTAGAAATGGTCCATATGTACTAGTCCAATAATAAAATTTATTAGAAGAG